CTAGAACCAGTTTCGTTGTATACATGATGTACAATGACAATAAAGGCTACACTATACTATTATACACTCTGCTGGTAGCAAAGGTTGGAAAAGTGTGGTCTCCCAAAATAACTGAGTTCTGTGGAAGATTGCAGATCAGGTTAGCAGGTTCTTCAGGTGTTCCTGCATGGACATCAATCAGGTTCTTCAGGTGTTCCTGCATGGACATCGTACTTCCTCATTCAGATGGGGCTGCTCTCCTTTTGACCACTACATTTGATGGCTCTCTTCTTTCTCTTTTTTTTCCAGGCAGCATCATTAATTTTGCTGGGATTCTTCTGGAATGCAGCCTCTGCTTCCTTCCAGGTAATCATCTCTGCTGTGCTACGAACAAAACAATTCAAAGGTGGAACCAAGATAATCCCTCCCCCCTGTAATGTCATGCAGATATTCTGCACATGCCCAACGATGATCCTTTAAAACAAGGGCAGCTATACAAGCTGGTTATAATTCTGTAGAGCAGTACACCTAGCCCACGCTCTGAAAATTATTTCAGAAGAATGCCAGGCTCAAAATACATGCATTTAGCTTGCAAATTTAATATATTGATTTGGGAAGGGGTCATTTTTTTAAGAAATGGCCTGAACATTTCTCTTCACATAGGCCTCCAGTCCTTGAAGACATCCAGTCCCAAAGACTGTAGGTAAACATGAGCTAACAATAAAGTTACTTTTCTGAGTGGTGCATTGCAACAATATTTTTAAGGAATATTGCCATCCCTTATGGATTCTATGCCTCTCATAGCTGTTTTCATGTAGAGAAGCTTAGGAATACCAGTAATAAATAAATCAAATGTGTGAATGAGTGATTAATCACTCTTTCTGTTCTGTGGAAGAGAATGCATTCTTCTTAGCAGCAGAAAAATCTGCAAAAGATTTCAAAAAACATTCCGAAACCTGGGGAAGAAAGAAAATTCATTACCCATCGCATAAGCTAAGTAGCTGTGCACTTTACCCAATAATACCTTGGTTTTATTTAGTATATGCTTGGTTGTTTGGTTTATGGCTTGATATTTTGATCAATGAATGTCAGCCAGTCCCATCTTATCTACATTGAGAGCCAAGGTCTCTCGGATTCTGCATTTCACTTTAGATGACAAATCAACTCTCTTGCATTCAGATTTACAGCATCCCTAGTATGAATGGTGATTACATCCAGCAGACAGTCACCATAGACAATGAGAAGAAAGTAGCCATCATCCACGTCCACGAGGGGTCCTGCTCTTCTGATACAATTTTTGACTATAAGCATGTAAGTGTGAATCTGGACCGGTCCTTTGTACACTCACCTTGTCAGTGCAAGAATGGGGGTTCTTCTACTGTATGTAGTTCCACTTCTAACAAAAGACATCCATTTGTTTTCACTCAATCTCCTGCCTCAAGCTTAGACCAGTGGTGGGATTCAAGTTTTTTTACTACTGGTTCTGTGGGCGTGGCCTTGTAGGCGTGGCAAAATCTCCTTTTCCTCCCCATCAGCTGGGACTCAGAAGGCGGAGAATAGATGGGGGCATGGCCAGCCAGAGGTGATATTTGCCGGTTCTCCTACTCAAAATTTCTGCTACCGGTTCTCCAGAACTGGTCAGAACCTGCTGAATACCACCTCTGGATTAGACCCTCAAGAAGTTTTAGAACTGCAAGTCCCAGATTTCCTGTTTGGTACAGGCAGACCGGGAGGATGGGAATTCTGGGATATGCAGGCACAACCTGTGTGGAGGGACCCAAGCCATAAAACTGAATTTTAGTTGTATGTCCCGCTTGCACATTTTAAACTTTAATGTCCAATGTGTCA